TAAAGAAATTCTCTCATTCAATTACATGACTTTAAATTTACTTTTACTATCTACGTAATCTGACATAATGAAGTTTCAAAACGCTCCTCTAAACCACACTTTAATGTAAGATCTAGAATCATCTGGGGTCCTTGTTAAAAATGCAGGTTTCTAGAGCACTCTGGAAGTTGATTAAATAAGTTCCTTAGAAACCACACACACACACACAAGCAAAAATAAAGGTCTTAGATACATGAAACCTATGCTGATTCTAAACATTAGGCTTTTAAAACAGAGGCTCACCTAACCTCTCAGTACAAAGGTAAAGTATGCGAGCTCTTACTGATTGTTTAAGCACTCAGTGATAGCTGTGTACAAATCTCTGTACAAGCTACAAATCTCCCAAAGTATATTTCTACAACTCAAGTTACTCTTCAGAAACATTTCCTAGGGTTGAAACAAAAATAATTATAGGAAGTAGTAATTCTATTTAAGTTGCTGGAGGGCCAAATTACTTTTCAAAGATCAGCTCTAAACCTCACATCCCAGCGAACCTCAGGTGTAGCAAAGTTTTAACCACTTCAAATCAATACACTCACATCAGACTATGGTGTGGGGTTTCTGGAAATTATTTTTATTTCTAGAAAAAGAGTGAAAACAAATCAGATTCAATTGGCCACCTGAGCCAAGAGGAACATGAACCTAAGTTGCTTTGCTGGTTTGAAGTCATTTAAAATTCATCATTTCTTTTCTGCTCTTGTTTGTGGAAGGCCACCAATAGGAAAAATATGGGAAAAAAATCCTTATTATTTCCTCCTCCAAACTAGGAAGAAAAAAGTAAATATTTAAGGAAGAAGTAATTGAGTATTAGAAAAAATATTTTATAGCACTTTACAGATTCCAAAATGTTCCACATAGTCAAAATCATTCTTTTAGTACTTATCATGAGCCTACTCTACCGGCGACATTCCAGGTTTATCGAGAGAAGTCTGCTTCTCTTGGGAACTCTCAGTAGTGGGTGAGGCAGCTACACTAATGAAAACCATTTGAAGAACAACAAGAGAAATATTTTTACAAAGATTTATGGGAGCTTTTGGTTAATGATTTTTGGAAGTAGTTGGGACACATAATCACTTCCTTGACATATGACCTCTTTCCCTGTGCTTCCAAAATATTTTGGTTTTGAGGAAAATATAAATTAAGTATCTCTCTTACTAGATAAAAATCAAAGCCATGGCTCAAAACTGTAACATTTCAATCTTTTTTTTAATATTTATTTTTTAGTTGTAGTTGGACATAATACCTTTATTTATTTATTTTTATATGGTGCTGAGGATTGAACCCAGGGCCTCGCACGTGCTAGGTGAGTGCTCTACCACTGAGCCACACCCCAGTCCCCATTTCAATCTTTAAGTAAAGGGAAATAGAGACATTGAGAATATGACTCAGGGGCTGGGCCTGGGGCTCAGTGGTAGCACATTTGCCTGGCATATGTGAGGCACTGGGTTCATGAGGCACTGGGTTCAATCCTCAGCACCACATAAAAATAAAATAAAGGTATTGTATCCATCTACAACTAAAAAAAATTTTAGAAAAAAATAATATGATATAAATAAAGATAAAATCAACACATTTAAATATTTGTGTCCTACAGGAGAGATCCTATATAATGACAAAGTTGATCTCAAGAATAATTAAAGAATGGGGAGTTTACAAGCATTTAGAGGAATATTAAAGTAAGGGCTGAGCATGTAGTGCAGTGGCACAGAACTTTCCTAATGTGTGCAAGGCTCTGAGGTTTTTTAATTGCCAGAAATTTTTAAAAATAAGGAACATTAGAATAAGATTTCTAGCTTGGAGGGAGGGAAGAGCAGAAGTTCACTAGATTAGACAAAGGGGAATGAAAGGAAGGGAGAAAGGATGGGAATGGGAAAGACAGTAGAATGAATCGGACATAACTTTCCTATATTCATATACGAATACATGACCAGTGAAACTCCACACCAGGTACAACCACAGGGATGGGATCTAATAATAAGTTACACTCCATGTGGTATAATGTATCAAAATACATTCTACTGCCATGTATATCTAAACAGAACTACCATAAAAAATGATATCTAGCTTAGCCATACACCTGGCTAATAGCCTACAAAGTAGTAAAAACATAACTTTTGTGGTGATTCTGTCTACCAGACAGAAATCTACAAATTAATGTGTAACTTCATACTATCCGGATTCTAATCACACAGTAGATAGCCAATTCAAACACCTGTAGATTGTCCCGAGACTGAAATCATGGGCGGGCCACTGCACAAAGGCCCAGCATGACTTTGTCAGGACACGTCTCCTCCCCCATGACACCTTATTTCTAAGTTTTGGATTTTCCTTTCTTTTTGTTTTTTGTTTTTGTTTTTAATCACAGTGGCATGGTTATGACCCTAGACATACTGGTTGGGTTCCTGGTTCTGGGCCTAGGAGCCAGATGTACCAGCTACACTGAAGTCTTTAAAATGATGTACTGATGAGGGAGGAATTGAGTGATCTTGGGAAGCTTCATGGAGCAGAGGATCAGAGAGCTATATCTTTAAATATGAATTGTTTTTTTAAAGATGAGAGGTCATTAGAGAAATCTGATCAAAGAATTATTTGGACTGGGCATGGTGGAGCACACCTGTAATCCCATCAGCCCAGGAGGCTGAGGCAAGAGGAGTACAAGTTCAAAGCCAGCCTCAGCAATTTAGTGAGGCCCTGAGAATAATGTCTCAAAATAAAAATATAAAAAGGCCTGGGGATGTAGCTCAGTGGTAAAGCACCCTGGGCTCAATCCCCAGAAAGAATAATAATGATAGTTCAAAAGTCATTATTCTAAGGTCCAGTTATTGCTCTAGAGGCTCTTAGTCCCCCACTTCCAGTACCCAAGTCTACTGATGAGTTTCCTTAACTGTCTGTGTCTTCCTTCTATAGCTTTTCTCTCTCTCTTTTCTACTGCTTGCTTACCTCTGCCTTTGGTTATAATTTCTGCTTTGCTCTTATTTGCTGGCAATTAGGAACATCATAACAGGCTCTTGGTGAGAGGACCCAAAGGACTCTTCCCTTCCACCCCCAGCACTGGGGATTAAACTCAGGGGTGCTTAGTTGGTGAGACTAGCCTGGAACTTTCGATCCTCCTGCCTCAGCTTCTGGAGTTGCTCAGAATACAGGTGTGCCCCAGCATATCCAGCTGAGGTTAAATTATTTTTAATATCTTCTAAGATGGAAAGGAAATATGTAATACATTTTAATGTGATTTTCACCACAGTGATTAAAATAAGTTTCGTGATTAAAATAATAAATTATGCTTTTCTTTGGTGGTTCTATATGAAATATGCTCTTCATTCTTCTTTGGAAATTAATTTTAATAGGAAAACAAAATTATAAATTAATAGAGACATGTGACTTTTAAACCAAGTGGAAAGCAGTTTAGTGAGAAGGGTGACAAAACTTTATGTCACTTGTTAGGCTACTTAGTCCCTTAAACCAGAAAAAGCATCCCCTGACCAATACTGACATCTCCAGTCTGTCAGGTTGGCAAGATACTAGGATTTTTGTTAGCTTAGTAACAATGGCTATCAGATAAGCTATAATCATAGACAAAACAGTATCTACTAGCAATGCCACAAAACAACAGGGCTCTTTGCCTATACTCTTCCTTTTAAAAAAATAAACTAAGTTTTGACATAGCTTGAAATCAAACATTAAACAGAAATATTTTCTTTCACCTCACTTGAAAATCGTAGAGTAAGGCACAAAGTGGTCTCCTCTAGTTAAAAGTAATCTAATTTACTCAAGACCAAACTACCAAAGTAGAAAAAACAATGATGGTAAAGTAAAATTATCTCAAATCCATGAAATTATAGTATATAAATAAATCTCTTTTAACAGCTAAAAGATTTCTTTTCTGACTATAATATATTCTCTTTTCTGTCATTTAACTTTTTTTTCCCTTAAAAAAGAAATTCAGGAAGAAGAGTACCTAAGCTTTTCATTGGGTTAATTCGTTTGTCCAAAGATTACAGTTCTAATGATATATTGCCCTAAATTTAAATTAAATGTTTCATGGACACTTAAATAAATATGTTAAGGTAGATTAATCAAATTCATTCTTCACTTGACATGGTGAATTACTACACCTTGAAATCTTTCAAAATATGTAATTTATAGAAAATAAAAAATATATAGGTATAGGCATTTGTAAGCCAAATATCCAGAATTCAAATTCAAGTGCATATTTGTAAATCAGTTTTTAAAAAACAAAAAACTTACTGGCACTTTAACCAAGATTTTATCACCTTTAATTTATTTATTTTTTTTTTTGGTACTGGAGATTAAACACAGGGTGCTTAACCACTAAGCCACATCCCCTAGGTTCAATCCCCAGTACTACAAAAATAAATAAATAAATAACCCCGAACAAAAACAACACCCCAAATTATCTCATTTATATCCTTTACCTAGAAATTCCATCTTCTAAATACAACACAGTCAAAAAAATTAGAGAATTTAAGAACTATAAGAATCTTCCAGGGACAGCCAGTATAGAGGGATCCTAAACTTTAATTTGCATCAGAAGTTGTCATGATCTTTGTTAAAATGCAGGTGGACAGGTCTAATTCCACCCCTCTGACTCCACAGGCCTGGGATGGAGCCTACTGAGCTTCCTACTGAAATAGCTAGTGCAAGATGACTGTCATGTAGGTCGTCTATGGGTCATTGGGAGGACCAACACTCCTGTAGTCCACCCTACCTCCTCCATAAGCCAGGAGTCCCCTTGAACTATATCCCATTGAGACATTTTCTGCCTCAAATTATTCCTTATCTAATACCTGGAGGTAGCTCACTGCCTCCTAGGGCAGTACATTATACATCTAATGGAAGCTTCTAATAGGAATCTATTAGAAGTCATTCATCATGGGCATGCACAAATATGACAGTACAAAAACACAGAAGACACTGAAGAATCAAATGCATGAAGAACTGACCTGCTTATTCTGGTATTTGTTTATCAGATTCAAAAATAAGGCATAACATCTGGAATAGTTGGCCAAGGCTGCACAGCCGTCACGATAAGTAGTTAGTTTGCTGCAGAAATGCCAAATGGGAAAATAAAAATTAAATGTTTTCCTATAAAATTCAGGAAGACATAATATCACATTAACCTTAGCCCTTCACAGTTGCCCAGTTCATTAAAAGGAGTCTACAAATACTACATGCACCAGCCTAGAGAAGCTGTAAAGAAACTTGATGTCCACTCTATATTCTGGGGATATGGAGCAAGGAAATTAAAAAATAAATAAATAATCAAACAAATAAACAAACAAATAAAAAGGTCCTTTGAAAAACAGAAGAAGACTGAAGACTGTAACACATCTACATGAGCAATGTACAATTGCTCTAATATACCAGGCTAGTAGTGCTCTGCTATCAGGAAAAGTAGACTTTAAGGTAAAAGATCTTTAAAATGGCTTTAAAATTTCTACAGCAAGCAAGTGAGCAAACAAAATCCACAAGGCAATACCAACAAACCCACATCAAATTGGGAGATGTTCATAAATTTCTTACTAATTGATAGATTCTGTGGAATCCAGCCGCCTGAGCACTCACGGAGCCCCGGGCTGATTTCGGGATTTCAGACAGGGAAGAAAGCGGGACAGTTCTATCCCCCACAACGGAATGTCAGTCATACTTTCAAAATTTGACCATGTAGTAGGCTATAAACAAATCTCAGTAAATTTTCAGAGAACTAGTATCTTAAAGATACTCTCTGGTCATAGTACACTTAAGTTACAAAGCAATTTTCAAAATATATTTTAAAAATATTTTTAGAAACATATAACTAATGGATCAAAGAAATAAGAATACCTAAAAATATATCTGAATAATAACAAAAATATTACAAGTCAAAATTTATAGAATGTAGTTAAAGCAGTGTTCAAAGGATATATATAGTCTTAAGAAGACTAAAAAGAAAGATGAGTTTTTAATACAGAAGAAAAATATACCCATAGAAGTTAGAAGAAAGGGATTCATAAGGATAAGAGCTTAAGGAATAAGACAGAAAACATACAATAAGTGGATCAATAAATCTACTGATTCTCTGTAAAAACTAATAAAACTAACGAAGATGGCGACGAATAGAGTGCATCACACCCCGTGTACCGCGCCACTGCGCGGGTGAATAAC